TAACTCACTAGATTTGCACTCTAGAGGCGCTCGTTTCGAATTTCCGCCAAGCACTGGCTCTCCTGACACAGGTTTGTTTCCTTCAATCCATCCAGACAAATGATGGAGTAGAGCAACAGTAAAACCATGACAATTTGCTTGAAAACCTTTCAGAATCATTCGGCAACCGCCCCAACATTCGGCGCTGGGGCGTCTAGACAGAGATAGCTACATGCAGCAACCCACGAACTGTCTCTACATTAACATTCAATTGAAATTAATTTCCTGTAGTACTACAGCCTTCGAGTCCCAGTAGTGTCAAGAATTTTCTCTTCTCCAAGTCGTCCAGACCGGCTCTGGGGTTACCCAACCTCTTATAAAGTGGGTACCGGTGGCTCTTTCCCCGGGGGTAAAGCTGCCTGGGCGTGAAGCTGACCACTCACCTCCAGCTCGTGCCGACGTCAAGAAAATATGGATCTGTACATTCACTTCCCCATACGCCTTCATGTCGTAGTGCTTAATTAGTTAAGCAGAGGGACAATTTTATCTTTACTACAGCCTCCACGTTAAGTCAGCCCCTTTAAAAATTAAACTATACCAAATAATTCTGCCCATAATTTGGGGCGGACGTCAAGTGGGATATATAGAAAATTAATTAACTTCTTCCTTCATCAAAAATTAATTTATCTTCATTGCTAAATCATATAAGCAGTCATGTGACAAGAGGCATAATTCTACCTCGAGAGAAAGTTGTATATGTTAAACTGCATTAACTTAGTGTTTTAATAAATTTTTTCCTTGAAAATATTAAGATATTCATATCCAGCCATAACTTACTAAATTAATTATTTCATTCTTGGCCAATTGAGTGACTATCAGCTTCTGAAAAAGAGCTCTGTTAGAAGTTCTTTAACTGAAAGAACCCTCTTTAAGTAAGGGCTAAACTGATAATCATCATGATCATTATAATAAAGACGGTGAAAATTCCTTGTGTTTAATTATGCTCCACGTGGTGAAAACACATGGTAGAGTGGAGGTATAGCTTCATGCATTCTTAACCCTGGCACTAGACGAAAATCAGTGGTCACTCCGGTCACTTTGCCGATCCATCGAATAGGAATCTGGATTGGGCCTACAGCAGGTCCGGAGGCTACAGAGAAGAGAAAAATCTTTTGCTTCTGCCAGGAAACGAACCCAGCTATCTTGGTATTCCAGCCCATAACCCACCAATATAGCAACTTTCCTAGTCCAGCTCCTTGCGATAATTCTAGTAATAATCATAATTATACTCCGTAGCCTGTAGTCCGCAAGTGAACTATACCGACCGAGCGACCGCCGCTTGTCGGCGAAGTTAGTGCTAACTTTAGTGGATAGAGGGTGTCGCGTGGTCAGCGCAACGGATCCCCACAGCCGTTAGTCTCGGTTTTCCGCTATTTACTTGAAAAGACTCCTCAATTTTCCTCACGAGGCTGAGTGGACTCCGTTCCAGACCCACTACTTCTCAGAAAAATAATCTGGGACCTCTGAATCTGCAGCCAGGAACTCTGACCACTAGACCACAGAGGCGGTATAGATTTAAATTTGTAAAATTCGTTATGGCGGGGGACAAGTAGCTCTGTCAGTTCAGGACAGGCTACGAGCTGGACAGCCACAGTTCGATTTCCATTAAGGGTGAGAGATTTTTCTCCACTCCACAGCGTATAGACCGGCTCTGGGGCCAAACCAGCCTCCTATCCATTGGGCATTAGGGCTGTTTCTCTGATGTTAATGCGGACGGAGCGTGAAGCTCACCGCTCACCCCCATCTAGTGCCGAGGTCAAGAAATATGGAGCTATACCTCCACTCCCGTTTACAACTTCATGGCATAGTGCTTAATTAAGCACAGGGACAAGTTTACATTTTTCACCTTTACGAACATAGGAGGGCAACTTACTAAGTCTGTTTCTGATCCTTCTCAGGTAACGGTCTGGGCTTCAAGTACAACTACGGTATCCAGCACGGCCACCACGGACATGCGTACGGCTCCAGTTATCCCAACGGTTACGGCGGGTTTGGATATGCGGGTGCTGGAATTGGTGGGGGCTTCCCCGGCGGATTTGGGGGCGGTTTCGCCGGATGATTCAAAATTCTTTCTTTCTTTCTTTCTTTCTTTCTTGTTACAATGATCTTCTGTCTCTCTGTGTTAATGTACAACTTCGTCGTCATTAAATCAACACTGGTTTAAAGTAAGAAGCTCTTCGGAATTTTATTTGTATCTAAGGTTCCGATACTGACGGCTTTAAGAGCAGTGCTACGCCATGAAGGCGTATGGGGGAGTGCACGTATAGATCCACGTATTCTTGACTTCGGCACTAGTTGGAAGTAAGCGGTCAGTTTCACGCCCCGGCCGCTTTACCTCCGAGAAAGATCCCAATACCTATTGGATATGAGGCTGTGTTGGCCCCAGAACCGGCCAGGACGAGGTGAAGAGGAAAAAATCTTGCCCCTCCCGGGACTTGAACTCCGACCGTTGGGCCGTCCAGCCCGTAGTCAGTCGCTATACCGACCGCGTTAACCCAGATCATTTGAAGAGCAGTATATCCTGGGATATGAAGCCCTGAAGTCTGATAGAAGTTTGCCGACGCTTCGGTGGAATGTAATATCTTAATTTTTAGGGTCGAATAACATACCAAGGATCCAGCAAAAAGCAAACAGCTTGCTATATGCATCTTTGTGTTCTTACTGGAGTTTTCGCGGACACTGAAGACGGAAGGTGATATGTTACTCCGAAACTCTGAACGAAGTTTCAGATGACTACATGGCGTTATGTCTCATCTTCATAGCCACTGCTGAGACAGCTTCAAATCCTTTGATATCTTCTACGAGGAAGAAATTACGAGCCAGCCTAGCTCAGTCGGTATAGCGACTGGCTACGGGCTCGACGACTGAGGGGACGGAGTTCGAGTCCCGGTAGGGTAAAAAATTTTCACTTTTCCATGACGTCCAGACCGGCTCTGGGGTACACCCAAACTCCTATCCAATGGGTAAAGGGGATAAAGCGGCCGGGGCCTGAAGCTGACCACTCATTTCCAGCTAGTGCCGAGGTCAAGAAAATGTGGATCTATACATCCACTCCCCCACACCCCTTCATGGCGTAGTGCTTAATTAGTTAAGCACAGGGACAACTTTACCTTTTACGAGGAAGAAATCTGAAGCCAATTAGCTAATAACATGGAACACAGCTCTTCTTCAGATGACAACAGCCAATCAAAGACGAAGAAATTCCCCTGTCTTTTATAGAATCTGCAATTCAATTACCGTGCTTACAAAAGCTCGCCACTGTCCCTTACTCTGAGCCAGATTAACCCACTCTACAACGTCACAACATATTTGTTGCAGATCCATTATCATATTTTCCTCCCATCTTAAGTATACAAAAGGTCTCTTGCATATCGACATTCCAACTACAATGGTTTGCTAATTTCTCATCTGTCTCACATTTTCTATACGCCCAACCCACTTCATTCTTCTCGATTTGATCAGCTCATTAATAGGAGTACTTTATATGGTGAAAAGTATATACCACGAAGTTTCTCATTATGAAGTTACAGAGCTGGGTTCGAGTCTCACCCGGACTGTTGAATATCCTGTTTTACGTGGTTTTCCTCAGTCTCTCCAGGGAAATGTGGGAGTAGTGCCTTAAACGACGCTTCAGAATCTTCCAGTCATATCCCTCCCAATTTATTATTCCGTATGATCCAATCAACCAATCATTCGATCAAATAAACTACAAACAAGTAAATAAATAAATAAATAAATAATGTAATTATCTCCAGTCTTCTCTTATTTCCTTCGGGTTTAAGCTCAAGTATTCTTGTCAGCACCCAGTCTATGATAACGACACATAGGATTTGAGGTTTTCACAGCGGTGGTTATGAATAATTATGTCTTTCGGTATATAACGCCCTATAGTCCGTCGAAAATCAACCGACGCTTCGGAGGAGATATATTTCTCCGAAACGTCCGTTGACTCTCGACGGTCCACAGATCGTTGTATCCCAGAAGACAGAGAACTCTTAAAATTAAAAATCTTATGTGTTTAATGGGTACCACGTCATAAAGAAGTATGGGAGTGAAGACATAATTCTATACATTCTTAAACTCGGCACCGGTTGGTCAGCTCCACACCCCGGCCAGCATAGCCCCGGAAAGACGCCCCCGTCATTCACTGGATAGGAGACCAAATATTGCGGAAAAATTAAAACATATCTTAGCCTGAAATCGAAACCCGGTTCATCAGTTCTGCTGCTCATAGCCTAAGTGCTCTACCGACAGAACCATCCCGGCTCCTGTGTTAAAGGCATTTCAAGTATAAAGTCACAGGGTGCATTGGGGGGTAACGGTTTAGACTTATATTCGGGAGATGCTCGGTTCGAGAGTGGGCTGGTACATGAGGTGTTCTCATCGAGACTTTTTGTGATTTTTCTCAGTCACTAGAAGCAAATACCGGGTCAGTACCTCAAATAGGATAATATAGCTTCCTTCCAGACCCTGTGTAATTCAGTGTTCAGTTGTCAACCTAGCACTGACGCTATACAGATTGTCACAAAATAAACCACAAAAGAAATTACATGAGGCCTATACTGAAGGCTAGAAATCAATAAACTTTAGAATACCTCACTGGCTCGCTATTAACCCAGAAAAATGCGCATGGTCTTGTATCAGTTAACACTTTGTACGTACTTTAATTTCTCTTCTTCACGAAGCTTTTCTTGTCCAACCGAACGAGATACAATACCGTCCTGTGTTTGATTTCTATTCGCTTTGTTCCCTTCTTACCGATGCTTTTTCTTATTCTCCAAACTGCACAAGAAGGTTGGCGCTTTGCTTCCCAAAAGAAAGTTCTTCTCATTTTCTTTTTGTTCCCTCGATTTCATTCAGTTTTGTTCCATTTTTGTAACATCCATGTTGTGTAAACCAAAGAACCTATATAGGGAAGTAGTGTATATATGAGCTATGGCAGACTAGCCGCTCTGTCAGTGTTCAGATCAGAGGCTAACAGCAAGTGTCGAAGATCATGAAGTTAACCGTAAGTAACACACACTGCTATTATATATATGTTTCCATTATAGCTTCTTCTAACTCTGTTCCTATCTGCCTATCTTCTACCATGTAACTTTATATCAGAATAATATAGGAGTACGTAACATACATATTTTGACACCTGGTGACTCTCTGCATTTTTTTTTTCCCTTGGCACTACAGCCCCAGTGGGCCTAGGCCTACCTCCATGAAATTCTCCGTTCACTTCGGTTTTTCTAGATCTTACACATTCGATAGGACTCCTTGGGCGGGTGATCAGCTAGTCACAAGGCCTCTACCTGTATACAGAAAACACAGAAAAACGCACACATACAAACTAAACATCCATTCCCTGAGTGGGATTCGAACCCACGATCCAGGTTTCCAAGCGAGCGAAGACAGTACATGCCTTAGACCGCTCGGATACTGTGACCGGCCTCTGCATATTATCGATCAAAATTATGTTTAATTAAAAAAAGTTTCGACACTGGACTCTGCTTCCGTCTTCAAATAAAAGTCTACTCATCTGGGCCCATTCGGTATATTTAGTCCCTATTTCGGGACACCAGAACCGACACACAGACAGGATGTATAAACCGAACAGAACATAGAAACATTTGCGGGAGTGAACACAAAAATTTGAAACGCCACATGCAAGAAACGCGGCACCTATAGGTAAAGGCAAAGCTATCCTGTAACAGGCCGTGAAGGCCCATAGAGTTGTGAGACGTCGATGCTCCCACATTTTCTCTAGACAATCAGCTCACAGATAGCGGTGAGGTTGTCAATCTTACGCGCCGGCCGCTCTTTACCCCAAGGAAGATTCCTGGTACTCATTTCTGTTAGAGGCTGAGTTGAACCCAGGTCCATAGTGCTGGAAATATCAGGTCAACTGAAAAAATCCACCTCATCGAGAATCGAACCCGCGATCTTCTGGTTTGCAGCATAATGCCTCAACCAACTATGCTACCGCACGACCCCTTGTCACCTATAGTCATACATAATGTAAGGGTCAGAGTGAATATGATCAGAGCCCTGCTATAATAGAAGCCAAAACCATAGAGCAAAGCTATGAAAAAAGAGCAACTATAGATATTATCCAACCAAAGATTATGGCATGGTATCTGAAACTTCAAAATCACAGATTAAATTATACATACAGGTGCACACCCAACAGACACAGACGATTAAAATTAAACTCTTAGATCTTGTTTACATATTCTTACCTGTATACAATAACTTAAAAATCCAGATATTTACACGCACAAATTCGAAAATGGAAGCATTAGGTTATACAAAAGAACATTTACATCTACATATTAGTAAATGCATGGCTTAAGTCATATATATATATATACATATATATATCAGTTGATGGGGGAGCACACGGTAGCGTAGTTGGTGAGACACTATGCTACAAGCCGGAAGGTCACAGGTTCGATTCAATTGACTAAATCATTTCAGTCGTACTATGACCCTGGGATCGACTAACCCTCCAGCAGAAATGAGAACCAGGAATCTTCCTGGGCGATAAAGAGGGGCCAGTGCATAAGGCTGACAGCCTCACCGCTATGTGAGCTGATTATTTACAAAACGTGGGAGCCTCGACGTCTCACAACCCAATAGGCCTCCACAGCCTGTTACAAGTATAGCTTTACCTTTTACCATTATGTCAGTGACCAGAGCAGAGAGTCACCTGGAGGGATGAGAAGAGTATCGTGAATTGGAAAGGATTTGGCAGGAAGACGTCGCAGCCAAACCGAGGTACTATTCGGGTATTTGGCTGGAAGGCTGGGGAAAACCACGAAAAAATCAGTAACTCTATCATTATTGCCGGTGACCAGGTCGAGACATTATCCGAGTATCTCCAGAGCTTATTGCTACTACCCGCCTTGACCAGCACCTTAATCTTCTTTAGGAAAACAATCTCCACTCGTTCTGCGAGTCATGCAAGGGCAAAACACAAAATTTTGTGTGTTCATGTCGAAGTCTTTTACAATGCCCCCTGTGATTGAACCCATAAAATCCCAGTAATTACTATATGTCTCGTCCTTATTAATACACTAAAACCATGTATTCTGTCCACACAGTGTATTTGTGTTTTCTGTATAATTTTCACAATAAACAATGACTGTTTCCCTAAACAGCATTAACCGGTTGGTCGACGTAGCAGAGACGTAATGTGTTTCGGGCTGAATCTCTATATTATTTGTGTGTTCCGTGTGGTTCTGACAATAAACAGAGACTGTTTCCCTAAACAGCATTAACCGGTTGGTCGACGTAGCAGAGACGTAATGTGTTTCGGGCTGAATCTCTATATTATTTGTGTGTTCCGTGTGGTTCTGACAATAAACAGAGACTGTTTCCCTAAACAGCATTAACCGGTTGGTCGACGTAGCAGAGACGTAATGTGTTTCGGGCTGAATCTCTATATTATTTGTGTGTTCCGTGTGGTTCTGACAATAAACAGAGACTGTTTCCCTAAACAGCATTAACCGGTTGGGCTTTGTAACCGAGACGTAATGTGTTTCCTGTGAGGTACGAACTGAATTCTTATATATTATTTAGAAGATTTTACAATATGTCTCTGGTCCTGAGTCTCAAGGGGCTTGGCGCCAAGACAAACTATTTGGCGGTAAACCGCCAGTCGTAAAGTAACCCTGACTCTGACACTGACTTGGTCTTTAAATGGTTAAAGGGGTAGACAAAATGCACTGAAAACAACTTAGAATATGAAGGAAACAGCAATAAACAAAAAAAAAAACAAGATAGTCTAGTTCATATCGTTGGGCAACGATTCATTCATTGGATATATTCGTCGCCTCGTGTTGTCGGGTCCGAATCGGTTTGTTTGGCTTCTATAAAAATCCACAAAACCTCATAAGAGTGTGACGATAAAGATACAAAATCATCCCTGTGTTTAATTAATCACCACGTAACTAACACGTATGGGGGATTGGAGGTACGGTTTCATCAACTGACGTCGGCACAAGATGGAGGGGAGTCACCAGCTCCATCCCCCTTCCTCCTTACAGAGAAAGAGCCCTCAGTACTCATTAAATGTGAGCCCGTCTCGACAATATGGAGAAAGGGAAAATCTCTTGCCTCTTCAGGGAATTGAACCCAAATTTCTCGGTTATCCAGCCATTAACATAGTCGCTAGTAATTCCATGAATATCAGCCAACCTTGAGAAGCCATCAATCGTTCAGCTACTAAAAAAATTCACAAATATTTTACGTAACCTGAAGGTTCATTACCAAATTCACAAGAGCCCTCAACTGGTCCGTATCTTGATCCAGTCTATGTCACCCCCATCATACCTAAGGTCCATTTCAATATTATGCTTCCACCTATGTCTAGGTCTTCCTACTGGTCTCTTTCCTTCTGTCTTTCCCACCAGAATCCTATAAGCATTCCTCTTCTCCCCCATTTGTGCTGCATGCCGACTGAAATATTCTGGGCTCCTGTAAAACTCTGAGGCTTCAACCTGGGACCTGATGAATGCTAGACTAATACGGTATCGTCTGGTCCTTCTCGAAGTCATTAAGAACCGATACACGTATATCTGTGTGTTCAGTTGCATATAAATATTCTAATCGCCACGTCATATGTTTTGCGCAGATTTTCCTCGTTGCTCTCGCTTCAGCTAGTGCGGCTGAAACTCTGCAGTTGGACGACTCCAAGTCGGCCGCCCCAGACTCCGACGCCCAGGCGACAGGTTTCGAGGGATTCGGAGGATTCGGCGGTTTCCGAGGCTTCCATCAATTCAATGGATTGATGAGCAATGCCTTCGGAGACCTTGAAGGTCAATTCGATTCCAGTGGATTCAATAAGGAATTTTCTGGATCAAAGAACCGAAAATTTGACACAGGTGAGTTATATGTGTACTTTTGACATAAACGTAAGGTAAAGCTGCCCCTGTGCTTAACTGATTAAGCACTACGCCATGTAGACGTATAATTCCGAGAATTCTTGACCTCTGCATTAATTGTAGGTCATCAACTCACGCCCCGGTTGCTTTACTCTCGGCGAAGGAAAACCCGGTACCAATTTGATAGGAGACTGTGTGGAACCCAGAACCGATCTGGACGACGTGGAGAAGAGAAAAACTTGCACCTGACGGGTCTCGAACTCCGACCTCTCGGTCGTCCAGCCCGTAGCCAGTCACTATACTGACAGTATTTTTGACATAAAGACATATAAATCATAATAATCTTGAATTAATTTATGTGATTAAGATATTTTTATAAAAAGGCATTGAAATGTCATGAGAGAACCTGCCCAATACTTCTTGCATTCCACGTACCCAATCTCATGTACATGTTCGTTAGCTTAGGTCATTTATCCAAAGAATCCGTACAGGTCCGAGGCCATTCGTGTCATTTCGTAACAACTTTTTTTTTTACGGTGGGGAGTTAGACCCACGCCGAACCCCAAAGCTGGAGGACTAACCTTCCATATCTGGAGACCGTCTTTTCCATCCGCAACCTGATGAATCCTGTTTCATCTGGCTCAGGATACGATCCAGTGGAGGGCTCTTATGAACACGGGAATGCACCGAACCTTCGGGTTCCATAAATTCTTAAGTAGCCGCACAACACGCGACCTCTCAAGAAGCGCTCAGCTCCATGCAGTTATTTATGTACAGAAACTTATGCCATCCTTCACACAACAACACATCTCTTCATCTGACAATCACGGTTCATAATATATGCCTACACAGGGTCAGGAGAAGGGGTAGAAATTATAGCAGAATAGTAGGTAAAATTTGAAAGTCATGGGGTAAAGTGACAAACTTTCTTGCCGGCAAGAAGACGCTCGTTTTGGTAGATTTTCAGGCTCTTCCTTCTGATAGAGGTATATGGAAAAGAAGAGAGTATGATGTAAGATTTGAGGCTTTCACGGCGGTGATATGAAGAAAGCAGTCTGCTTCTACCGGTTCTCACGGTCTCTTCGCTTGCGGATTTCTTATATTTTTCTTCTACCCTGAAGATGGAGGCGATACGTTCCTCCGAAACATCGGTTAACACCACATATACACGGTGCCAAATCCCAGAAGACTGCTTTCTTCAAGAGAGTAGGATAGCTAGAAGCAGTGGCTTGAGCCAGACGCCGCTCGAATTAGTGGTGAACTGCTTAATGCAGAGGCGTAATTTGGCGGCTCCGACAGCAGAGGGATTTAATTTTGATGGATTTTAGTCGGAAGGGCAATAACAAAATTGAACTCGGGAAAACGTTACAGTATTTGCTTTAAGACAGAGTAAACCAAGACAACCCGTGGTGCAATACAGTACATTACTGCTTGCCCTCGCCAGCACAATGGTTCTTCGTTCTGAGTCCCACGGCCTTCATGACATGCTTCCCCGCGTGGACCTAACGCAGAACAACCGAAGATACTAAGAAATTTAATCATTATTGCCAATATGTACGGTAGCCACGGCTGTTAAAGCGAGGTTCAAGTATTGGTGTAGAATTTTCGTATGCGATTCGAATCCTCTTTCCAAATCTTTATTTTTTATTGAAAAAAATTAAACTTTAATGTCTAAAATTTGAGTGATTTTTGTTCTTTAAAATTTAAGCTACTCTCTATCGTGACATTAACAAGAAAGTACCCACATCCCCCACCAAGAGGGACTACATTTGTCTGTATTTTATGCCTGTGTTTATACTGTTTGCAAAGCCGTAGGAAACATTTCACGTTAATATCCTCCTCGTGACATACGGGTGAACTTGCTTCATACCGAGTCACAGGTCGTGTTTCTAAGCCTGGCCTCTGGGACACGCATGAGAAGTGAAAATATATATGTCAACAAACAGCGAGGCAGTGGTTGCAATTACATTTTGGGAGGGGGTGAGACACCGTAACGAAGACTCCTCTACAATCCATATATCCCCTAACCAACTAACTCCATGAAGCTGAGCCCTTCTTGAGAAACCGTCGGTTGCTCAGCCCATCGAGAATTTTCCAACAATTTACGTAACTCGAAGGTTCATTACCGTGTTCACAAGAGCCCTTCACTGGTCCCTATCCTGAGCCAGATCAATCGAGTCCATACCATCCCATCCCATCCCATTTCTCTCCAAGATCAATTTTATTATCAAACAACTTATGTCTTGGTCTTCCTAGTGGTCTCTGTCCTTTTGGCTTTCCCACCAAAATCCTATATGCATTCCTCTTCTGCCCATTCGTGTTAAATGCCCAGCCACTCTCATCCTCCTGGCTTCTTTTTTTTCTAATTATACTTGGAGAAGAGTAAAAGTTATGAAGCTCTTCATTATATAGTTTTCTCCAACCTCCTGTCACTTCGTCCCTCTTCGGTTCACATATTCTTAGCCCCGTGCTGTCAAACACCCTTAGTCTATGCTCCTCCCTTAATGCTGGATTGCCCTGTACACGAGCTTAATCCTTACTTTTGTGCTGCAGGATACGGACAATACTTCCTGGAGGACCTCGGCGACAGTCCGTTTGGTTCAGACCTGGGCTCTCCGACTACCCACCAGAAGCAGGGCCATCTGGCTCCAGCGGTACAGCTAGTTGCCAAGGCACCGGGCCGTCCAGGAGCGGTTCCCCGTTATCACCAGCCTCTGCCGACCACCAAGTACGGCCAACATTCACAACTGGTACAGCCAGCAGTAGGAAGGAAGCCTTACCCAGCTGTCAAACACACAAAAGCACTGAGTCCATACAATGTACAGCCATATCAGGTCCCCTATGCGGGTGGCCTACCTAGGAAACACATAGCCGATAGCATTGTGCCTACTTATAGCGGGAAAAGCCTGGTACCTCAGCCTTTCGGAACAAGGAAGTTTACTAAGGTAGTTGAAAAGACTCATGCGATCAGACAAGAGAGCCCTAATTTGAAACACTTCACAGAAAACTACGCACCAGACGAGGGATTTGCTTTCTGAGCTGAGAAATTATACTGAAAAATGTAACATTTCGTTTGCACAGCGTGTTTCTTTTAAAAAATATATTTTGGAGTACGCTTTCAAGCGGAAAAAGACAGGCGGTTCTCCCGTGAAGTCTGGCAAATCCTTAACTCACAAGATCGTTTCACGGCTACATTTTTTTATAGAAAAATTTACGCCTGAAATTATTAAAATATTAAACAAGTTAGTTTTACCTTATTGGAATATGAATTCAAATATAATGACTAAATTTAAATCAAAATAAGTTACATTAAAATAACAAAAAATATAATTTAAAAGCTAATGCATACGTAAAGACACAGAACATCGCAACCAAGCGGTTATCAATGTTACATATCCTGCGGGTTCCGAGTTCAGATCTCAGTCGGACCCGGATATTCAGAGTTCTAAGTGGTTTTCTCTCATTTCCTTAAATAATATGGCTACGACACCTTAAAGTAGGCCTCTACCGCTTCCTTCATAGGTAATGTATGCAGTTGAAAATGCGTTCTTTTACCGCTCACTATATTTCACGAAGTACAATATAGAAAGTATGCGGTTTATTTAAAATGAAATGTACTGCCAGGGTCACTCCTCTTATCTGCACTTGGCGCTCTCAAGTCTGGTGTTGTAGTTCAGTGGGAATTTCAAAGCATACAAGTAGGCCTCCAACTTATGAGATAGTTGCATTCTGAGACGCGGTCTCGTAACTCGAAACTCTTATTCCCTTCGTTTAACTTGATTTAAATTTCATTGAAAAATACGTTAAGAAATTATATTTAATTTCAAATATTTTTTCAGTTTATGAATTTTATTTTTGTTTCATGCAGATAATTTCGTTATTTTATATTTTTCAATAAAATAAATAAATTTAAAAAATATCATACGAATTCGCGTTAAGAAGAAAACTAGGTAAAAATGGGAAATACGTGTAATCATACTTGTATATATAGATGAATATTAAAACTCATTTTTCGTAAACTCTTTAAACGTCCCGTTAATTTTGCAGAATGTTGTTTAGATTATAGATTTTTATACTTATAACTGTCCTATTACATTTAAATAAATGCTTTGCAATTCGTATCTGAGTAACATTTAATAAACTTCCCAAACATCCATAAAAGATCTGGAGGTTGCAGGCCGTTCACAAGTTTAACCTACATCCATATTTGGATTTCATTCAGTCAGAACAGTTTGCATCTATTATTCTGGATATTGTCCATCTTCTTCTGTTTTTTTTTAAATAAAACATTTTGAAAACTGTACCTTCCATCATTAAGTGTAAGTAAGGAACAGGTTATAGTCCGTTAGAAGTGGGATCAATTGTGTACGAACATTTCCTGCAACGCTCATGATTCCGTTCTGCATTATCGCCAGAAACATCCGGATTTCTCTTAAATTATCTCTCAGGCAGTTAAACAGAAAAAGTACTATTCGCCACATGTGCTGTAACAGAACAATTTTGGAAAAGACTGCGTCATGAGCACTATGAAGCCATGTGCATTAATGAATGAAATATTCTAAAAATTTAATGTACATTCCACTTTTTTAAAATGATCTATTTTACGATATTTGAAATTCTCAAGATGATGTCTGTGATTAATGTTATATTTTGGGATGTGACACCGTATAGTCCGGTAAGGGTTCACAGAGCTTTTGAATTAACATAATGCCTCTATCCATACGGACGAAGGGTAAGCCATCAAAGCACATGAAGCAAGAAGAACAGCGATTTTTACCTTGTTTGTTTTATTGTTCCATCCTGAAGATGGAAGAAATACATCGAAATATCGCTAAACTTTTACCGAACTACGCGGACTCTTGTCTGAGAATATATATATATGTTATTCTTTGAATAAAGTAAACTTTCTTCATGTGGTTTTGACATACGCTGTCACGTGATGTATGTCCGGATAACTTTGCTATAAATAAGAGAAAGAGGCAGAAATGGATATTATTTTGTAATGTATTAGTTACACTACATAAGATTTCTCTCTCCGTTCACGTATCAATCTAATCAAACAACAACACGGTTCAGTAAACTTGTTTTTTTTTTGCTTATTTATGTATTCATTTAAGAAATGAGTTATTAGGATGTGGATTGGATTCATATGGCTCAGGATATGGATACGTGCTGGGCCTATGCGAATACGGTACCATTTTGGGTACCACACGAGGCTAATATTTTTTGAGGAACTAGGCAACTATTTGCTCCTCAAGTTAGTTATGAGGTTAAACAATTTACGACCTCGCTTGAGCTTGTTAGAAATGTTGTAGCGCATGTATACTGGTATTTCAACGTTGTCTTTCTTATCCTGCTCTCATATACCAAATCTACGTTATTCCCACAAAAGGCAACGGATATTATGGTCATTTTGTTACATCGACCTTTCACTTACAAAGCGTCTGCAGAAATTAAGTTAACGAAGGGCGAGCTTCTGAAATGTTTTTAATATTTTAAGTCACGAATTGCGATACACTGGTATTGTTGTCAAGTTTGGCACTGGTTGAGTTATATACTGGCATTGGTTGAGTTATACGTTGGCACTGAGTTATATGCTTGCACTGGTCGAGTTATACGTTGGCTCTGGTTGAGTTATATATTGACACTGGTCGAGTTATATATTGGCACTGAGTTATATGCTCGCACTAGCCGAGTCATACGTTGGCACTGGTTGAATTATATTTTGGCACTGAGTTTCATGCTTGCACTGGTCGAGTTATATTTTGACACTGGGTGACATATTTTGGCACTGAGTTTCATGCTCGCACTGGTCAAGTTATATGTTAGCGCTGGTTGAGTTATATACTCACAAAGGGAATTATTTTTCGTAAGATATGCATTTACTGTTACTGCAAATGATCACCCCAAAAAGCGAGAAGTGGGTGCGTGACTAAGACGGCAACTAGAAAATACAATTTATTCTCTTCACAATAAATTAAAGTGTGAAGTACTTAAAGCCAAATTGAAGTAGCCGTCGCATAAACGACAAGAGCGTAGTTCGTGCCCCTTCAAGCAACACATACGATTTAAGAAATTCATGAAATTGTGTAGCAGTAAATATCTCATTAACTATGTAGGATTTGAGGTTCTCACAGCGGTGGTTATGAATATTTCTTAACTATCTTTTACGTTATACGGCCGTTTAGTCCGTTGAAAGTCAATCGACATTTCGGAAGAACACATGGCCTCCAGAGCGGCATAAAGTTTCTGCTCGAGTCATCTCTTCTATACGTCTCGTTATTCAAGATGGCATTTCTATTGAAAAATATAGATTGATTAAAGATAGTTGGGATCATTCTAAGCTTGCAACCGTTGTACAATTTACAGACGAGCAGAAAGTCTACTTTTGTGCGCTGACGATGAACTGATAAAGGTACTTTCATCATTAATGGCATGGAAGAAGTTATTCAGTGAAGATGGAGGCGATACGTCCCTCCGAAACGTCTTTTCACTTTCAGTCGACTACACGGTGCTATATCCCAGAAGATAGCATTTTTCATCTAATTAACCGTTTGTAGCCTAAACTTTACCTAAGTAATATAAACAATTAAGTTCCTACATCACAGAAAATACACCGCGTCTCCATCGTAAAGAACCAATCCCTTGATGCTGATTAGGGAAAGAAGCGTTCATCTTGAGAATCACTAAAACCCACTAATGCACTCTGTGGGCAAAATTCAATGCACTGAAATATCAGAAGAAGTGATATACATAGTAACAACTGTGCTCCGAAGGATTACACCTTTATGGCGGCACGGATGGTAAAATTAATCTACTGTAAGAACAAAGTTACGTCACACCTAATGTAGGCAACCTTACGGAAGAAAAGACCCTGCATAAACATATATAAATTTCCCACCGACTTATGAATGCCACATATATATTGAGAATATAAAGCAAGAGGAGGGAATACAACCCACCAACTCAAACACGCATGCGCATCGAGGGGACATATAAACAACATAAGCAACGAAACAGAAGACACCAGTTGCCTCGCCAAAAATTTTAACACCTGACGATGACCACATTGGTCGAAAAATGTAATGATAAAATTTTAAAGAGAATATCCTTTAATAAATTTTATACAACATAGCGTTGCACGTGAGACTGTGGAACTGACACTAAATGATGTACTTCGTTCATACAGTGGATGAAGTATATCACTTCATGTTAACTAAGCTTTGATGTAACTCTGGCACCAGACAGTGAAGTGGTTAGCTACCATTACAGTAGGTGGTAATATATGATGGTTTACATCGGAGTTCATAAACATTGCGTTCACACTTGAATGCTTTATTACGCTACAAAATTTCCATTTTCAATTTTCGTGTACATCAATTTTATGGCATTTGCATCAGAAATTGTTTATCCTACTGCGAGACATCGTCTTAAAATGTTCTTACAAACGAGATTTTTTTATTGCTAGTGGGGTGGGACTAAGTCCCTTGTACTACGGCCACTTCTGGCCTATTGCACCAGCCCCAGATGATAGGTGAGGGTGATTGTGGAACAATTGGTGGAATGAAGATTGGCAGGGTAAACTGAAGTACTCGGAGAAAACCTGCCCCAGCGCCAATTTGTCCACCACAAATCTAACTTGACCAGACCCGGGATCGAACCCGGGCCGCCGCGGTGGGAAGCCAGCGACCAACCGCTTGAGCTACGGCGGGGACTACAGGCGAGATACTAAGGGAAGAAGCAGTTATTTCTGTTTGCGACGGTGCACCAATGCAGTTCCCTTCTGCCCCTAGAATCATGGGCGGTTAGGTGTCATTAAATTTCGCCTCAGTAATACACAGTACGTGACATCGCTAGGGGACAAGACAATGCACGATTAACGAGAATCAGTGAAGCGAGTCCTGAGGAGAAAAAGTGTTTGAATTTCAGGAAGAAATCTGTCAACTAAGAACAAGTATCTACCTGTGCCTAGCTTTGAGTGACAACGACCAGAAATGAGGAGGTTGGTACTGTCGACAACTAGGCACTGTGTTAAGTGGAATGTCTTTTGTTATTCATTCTTATTTTACCTTTACGGATTACGCCAATTGGAATGTTTTAATTCAGAATTATTTTCTGAACCCAGGAATCTGACAGGTCTATTGGAGCGGTGGGATAAGTGAACGACAGATCGGACAATAGTAGCAGAGGACACTACAAACACGGAAACACTGCGGAACCACGCCGATCCATTCCCAGTGTTCGAGACATCACAGATGCGCGGCCACTGTCCTCGATGCATCTGACTTTCTTACAGCGCTGACTAGAGTCGCGTATAAAGACAGGCTACGGATTAAACGGCCGGGGTTCGATTACTGGTAGATGCAAGATATTTTTCTCCTCTGCGCAGTGCCCTGACCGGCTTTGGGGCCCACACAGCCTCCTATCTGATAGGTACCGGGAATTCTTTCCCTGCGGGAAAAACATTCAGAGCGTAAAGCTGACCGCTCACCTCCAACACATGTAGAATTTAAGAATGGTGAAGCTCTACCTCCACCCCCCTATCCCTTCATGGCATAGTGCTTAATTAATTAAGCACGGGGATAACTGTATATTTATCTCTACAGCGGTGATATTAAGAGTACAGTCTTCTGCGTTGTAACTCCGTGTATTTTGGTAGAAGTCGGCAGACGTTTCGGAGGAACATATCGCCTCCATTTTCAGGGTTGAAAAATAAGCTAGCTACAAGCGTGCAACCTACTTATTGCTTGTATGTTACTTTTCTTATTCTTATACCCTGAAGGTAGAGACGATATGTTCGTCCTAAACGTCGGTGGTTCTGTACCGGACTAAACGGCGGTACAACCCATAACATGTTACTATCCGTCCTTCCTTCCTGGTGAACGTGTATGTTCGAAACACTGATCAGCCATTTTTGCCTGCATAAAGTAATTGCGGTGGATCTCAGAGCAATAGGATGGGGTGGTATGGGTTGGATTCATATGGCTCAGGATAAGGACTGGCGGAGGGAACATGTGAACATGGCAATGAACCTTCGGGTTCCATAAAATGTTGGCAACTTCTCGAGTAGCCGAGCAACTGGCGGCTACTAAGGTGGGACTCAACTCCACGGAGTTAGTTAGTTAGTTAGTCAGTTAGTCCTGTGTTGCCAGGAGAAACAGAGGTACGTGCTATGTACAGAGACTTCCTCAGTCACCAGTCTCGATTTGTTTGTTTGATTTGCCTCAGTCTTCAAGCAAATGCTGAGGTT